GCGACCATTTTGAAAATGCTGATGGCAATAGAATGACCGTATTAATTTTTTTCCCGTACTCGATTCTAACGCGCATGCGATTTATGAACTCGCTTAACCGGATAAAAGGTGCTCGTTAGATTCGAGTAATTACGGTAAATGGATGTGGACAACGCCTTATGAACAATTATAAAAGTTCTTTTTCTGTGGTTCAAGCGTGTACGGAGTTCCAATTTGCCCATAAGCGGACCAATTCTCGAGCAGAAAGCTCAAGAGACGACCATGCAAATGGGTGTTAAGAACTTTGTCCTAAGCGACGGATGGCTCAGCCGCTTCAAAACACGCCATGGCCTAGTCTTCAAAGCAATCTCAGGTGAGAGTGGTGCAGTCAACAGGGACATTTGCACTGACTGGCAACAGGGGCGGTTTAAGGAAATATTGATGAGCTTTGAGCCACGAGACTTCTTCACTGTCGACGAGATGGGCCTTTTTATAAGGCGCTTCCATCAGACTCGCCTTCAAAGGCAAAGCCTGTAGTGGAAGAAAACGCAGTAAAGATCGCATCACTGTGCTGGTGGGTGCAAACATGGCAGGAGATGAGAAATTGAAGCTGTTGGTAACGGGAAAATCAAAGCACCCACGTTGTTTCAAAGGCGTTTGACACCTTCCCGTTGCGTGCCATGGAAATGGAAAAACGTGGATGACCGTGGCCATTTTCGAAAACTGTATTCGGGAGGAAGACGCAAGATTTACGAGGCAAGGCTGGAACGTTGTCTTCATCGTGGATAATTGCCCAGCCCACGGTGAGGTTCATGTACTCCAAGCCATCACTCTGGAGTTCTTACCTGCCAATGCAATGGCAGTTATCTAGCCAGTGAATCAAGGGGTTATTCAGAACATTAAAGTTCATTACCGCAGACAATTGCTCCATCAAATGCTGCGTAGAGCAGGCAGCGGGAAATGCTACAGCATAGGTTTATTGGCAGGCATCCACATTTTGGCTTGTGCCTGGGAGCAAGTGAAGGCAACAACAATACACAGATGCTTTCACCATGCTGGCTTTCAAGCGCAAGAAAGCAGTACCTGATGAAGAAAGCCCTGCTGATGCCAACATTGAGACAGTATTCAGTCAGGTCGTACGCTCTGCCCCTTTCACGCTAGAGGACTACAAATAAATTGATAAAAATGTTCGTACCTGTCGTGAAGAGACTGTCGAGGAAATCATTGCCGAAGTGCACGGTGAGGGTCAATCCTTCAGCGATGAACGTGACCACAATAGGGCCAGTGCAGTGGTGCCACCAGACCGATCAGCTAAAGAGGCTGTTGAACTTTTGCAGTGCTATTTTGAGCATGAGGCTTGTCCAGAATTTCTAGCTAGTTTGTCAAGCATGGGTGCGTACCTTGTAAAAAAACAACTCAAGCTTGCCAAACAAACCACTCTTCACTCCTTTTATTTTTCCTACTCATCCTCATGAGTGAGGAGAGATTTGTGCAATTTCACTAAAGGTCTTGGTTCACTAAATAAGTGTACTTTGCTTCAATGAAACTTCTGATAAATGGAACAGTCTTATGGATCCCCTTCAAGTTCCATTTAAGAGCAGTCGACTGTAATTCGTTATATCCATATATAAGTGTACAATCTACTCTTATTACAACGGACCATCATGATAAGGAAAAATTGGTCGATTTTCTAGCAAAATCGTTTCGATTTTGCTCAGGAGTAAAGAGCAGGCTAGTTCCACTGATACCTGCTGAATGGATTTTACAGCATGGTTACAAAAGACTTCAGTTACCAGCAGCATTTATTGACAAAATTTTAATGCAAGTTCAGAGTCAGCGAGAGCTGTTACAGTACCGTATAAACCGGGCTATAGGACGAGTGGGAATATAGGTCGATCCCCCCAAGTCCAGGTTACCGAAAAAAAAAAAAGGAAAACAACCCGAAATTGCCGAACGACATTTATTTGCGAATTGAAAACTAAGTGGCCGCAAATCGGGATTCTCACACCAGCCACTAACAGCAAGCTTTAAGAAGTACTAATTAAAACTTACCTCAACAATAAGAGCAGAGGTTCAACACAAGACAAGATTTGAGACACAAAAAGTGGAAGCAAATAGTCGAGAATTAGAATACCATACGCAAAGCTTGCGGACGTTGCGGGCATAGCGGTAGCATTCGTCGCTCAACAGGAGCCCTCAAAAGGTAAGCGTGGGACGTCAGTATTGGGCTGATGGATATTTAACAGAATTGCCCGCAGTTTCCTTCTTAAGAAATAAAGTTTACCATCAATCCCAGTTTTAGGCACACGGCAGGCCCAAACGCGTCTTGGTGGCTTTCAGCAGCCATCACCAGTAGCGAACACAAAACTCGTAGACTCCGAAGGGCCTACCGGCCGCCCTGTTGCCGTTTTTTAGTGCATTATCTATCGCTTGCAACTTGAAAACAGCCGTACAGCTTCAGTATCGCCTCATAACTTGACAAGGTTACCGACGCAACATACAAAACACGCCGCAACGCACACTGGCCACTTCGGCTTGGCTCGAGTTGGATTGAATTTGTGCAATAGTACGCTTGATGCTTAAGAGATGGCGCTAGATAACGTGCGCTATCGTCATCAATGGCTGAAAAGAGCAGACGACATTATTGCAGCAGTTTTCGGTGGTGCGATAATTATTCGAGAAAAAAAGAAATCGTATTTTTGTTGGGCGATGTGGGGGGTGCGAGAATTGTGCGAGTGCGAGTATGACACGAGTAAATACGGTAAGCTTGGCCTCGAACTCGTCTGGAAACTTCTGACAAATGGATATGCGCCACCGGAAAGAAAATCCTTTGCGTCTCATGAATCGATGCACCCAAGAATTCGGTGCACGAAACTCTTCTCTAATGAGCCCAGCTTCTGGAGCGAGTTCCACAGCTTTCTTGCGAATGGTATTCACGGTCACTGGCAGCGAGCACGCATGAACTTCCCACACAAAGTTCCCTAGCGTTTTCTCCAGCTGCGGATGAACCGCACTTTGCCCACGAAATGACATTTTCCAAAGATTGCACATCTGCAGCTTCCCTTTCTGCATCCTCCAATAGCGCACGCTTTTTTCTGATACACCAAAGCGGCGCAGAGCAGTCTTAATCCCATTTGCTTCTGTGAACTCAACATCCTCTATTTTAAACGCAGCTGAGTACTGCCTTCTCGTACCGCTACTCATATTCAGTGAACGAAAAAAAGATCACTAAAAATGAAACACAATGTCAAGCGGAGTGAGAACTTAGAACAGATCGGAGGAAAGTCACGAACTCTAAAAAACAGACAAGAGAAAAAAACAACAACCTGCTATTGGATTTGAATGCAAATATGGCCGTGTCCAGCTTCTCATGCACATGCAAGCCACATGTTGCCAGACAGCAGTGCACTGTCGGCTAGACACCGCTATATAAGACGAGGGGCGACTTTAGCTCGTTCTTTTATTGAAAATATCTCGACTTATATTCTGGTTTATACGGTAGGTGCAGGGACGCTAAGCAGCCTCGGCACTGCAGCCAGGCTTAGGCTGATTGAAGTTTCCAGCAGGCTTCTTCAGCCACCTCTGTGGATTTAGGCCACAGAATACAGTCAAACGTCGTTATAACGAAGTTGAAGGGGAAGTAAAAATTATTTGTTATAACCATTAGTTTATAGCCAATATCAATTTTTACCGACAATTAGCCAGCTAGAGAGAATGTGCACGCCAACGAATATCACAGCAGCCCGCCGCGAGGAGAAAAACGGCCGTCAGAAGGCAAAAAATGGCAAAATAACAAAGAACGATGCACTTTATTACCGCAAAATTCAGCGCACGAGCCGGCAGATCACTTCGAAGAAAATTGGTCCTTAATATTATTGACTTTTGCCGACTCTTCCTCACGCGGATGATTGCTTTTTCAGCTGCAGCAGCTATTCTGAGTCCGCATTCGCCGACATCGTAAGCACCAAAGAAGCAGCACAGCAGCTCTGTCGCATCCAGCGCTTGCGTGGGCGTCGGTACATCTGGTTCGCCAGCATTAGGCTCGAGTGTCGACACATTCGTCACTGTCGTCATGCACGTTCGTCACCAGGGGCAAAATTTCCGCATCTGACAAAACTTTGGTTGTCACCGCGTCAGCATCTGGTGCCAACATACATGTGGAAAGTGTCGCAGTCAGGCACAACGCCAGCATCAAGGAGAGCGTACGACGACGTCAGGGCTCGGTCGCCCGCGGGACCTAGCGACATCACTGAAATCTTGGCCACTTTTTTTTTCTTGACGCCAGACTCAACGGCTTTCAACATTGCCGACTTCTGCTCGACTGTTTTTATTTTTGCGCTTACGTTTGCCGCTGCTGTTGTGTTGTCTATCTCGCGTCTTGCGGCAGAAACTGATAGAGGTGGTGTTGCTCTTCCACAGGGAACGACAAGGAAGAAACCCACAATCTCCACCGCCCGGGTGGCGTGCGAGGCCCCGGTGCGGAGCGGCGAAGTTGAAGGGGAGGAGGAGGTCAGATATGTGGGCGGGCCAACGAGTTCTACAGGAGAGGGGAGGCCGGCTGACGCGCACGCTCGTGTGAGTTGCTGCGCGGTCGAGTCCATTAGTTCGTGAGGAAAGGGGAGGCAGAGAGACTCGCTCCCACAGGCGTGTTGGCAGACCGCAGGCGGCTTCAGGGGAGCGCAAGGCGCGAGTTTTGGCTTCCCGCAGTTGTGATGAGACGTAAATTGTCTTGTGCTATAAAATATTGAATTTACGTATACCAAAATGATCAGTAAATGCTCATTGCAGATGAAGAATAGTTCGTTATATTCATTGTGAGAAAATTTTCACTTTGTTAAAAAGAGGTTTTAAATATATGGGCATCTATGGGAATTTTAAGTGGAATTACAATTGCTTTGTTATATCCCACTTCGTTATAACGATGTTTTACTGTACAGGGAAATATACCAGCTGTAATGTATCTGCGCATTGCCTCAAACAAGTGGAGCTGATCTGGTGTGTCTTTGGGGGCATGTTTCCAGGAGTTCTTTCCTGTGAGCAAGAGGAGTCCGGAAAACTTCACAGCCACGTTCAAGGCACATGGTATCTCTCAGCTGCTGGACTACCAGGTAACTATCAGTGCCCTTGGCTAGAGCATTGTAATACAGTAATACCTCGTTAACTCGGTCGTAAAAACCAGGAAAAATTTGAGATAAGATTTTCGAGATAAGCAAAGTTGCGCTAATCGCTGAGAAAAATTAGTGCTTTTCAGAAAAAAAAATCACTACTTGCTAGCTGTTCAGCAGCAGTTTCTAATCTTTCTTCTCGTGCAGGTTTAAAAGAGAAAAAAAAATGAGATACGAAAGATTTAACCAGCTGGGTTTTGTCGCACTGCCATTTTATTTAGCAGAAAAAAACTGCCCAATGGTCGTCTGCTTTGCAGTCTTACTCGGTCCTCGGAAGGTGTTCTCCAGCTTCTTGGATGCGCCGCATCAGTCAATCTTCCCCGCCGCTGCATTCGACCTTATTTCGAAGCTAGCGCAGCAAGTTTTTCGTCTGTGAAGATGTCCGCACCTCTCAAGGTCGATCGTCATCGCTGTCGTCTCTGCTGTCCCCTATGTTAGTGGCCGTCTGAATGATTTTAGGGTCCATCATTTCTCTGGTCACCGCCACATCCTGCTCACTCAGGGTGTACTCCAGAGAATTCATGTTTCGGTGGCACTGTTACCTGTTCGCTTGATGACACCTTGACACAGTTCCTCACAGTCTGTGAAGTCATCTGTCTCTGTTGTCTCTGCGTCTGGAAAAATAGCGGCACGTGAAAACCCAGCATGCGTAAAGCAGTTGGCGATAGCCGCTGCACGAACTTGCTTTCAAGTGCTGCTGATAAGATGATTCACCCAGCAGGTGAATTTTGTAGCCTTTGCCATTTTCATAAGACAACAAAATTCTGTAGAGAAGGCTCTTTCGGTAGATTTATCGGGCCCTTCGATGACACCTTGGTCTATCGGCTACAGAACAGACTTTATATTTGCGGGCAGAAACTCAATTGTCATTGCCTTCAAATTCTCTATTTTGCTGTGGCCTGGCAGTTGCCGAAAATAACAGGACTTTCTGTTTTTCTTGGCCATCTTGTTATATATAGTGTGAACGTACTCTTTGAAACAAGTAGCAGTTTTCCACGCTGCTCTATTCGTGAAATAGATAATGACATTTGGCAGTCTGGCATTTCTGAAGCACCTAGGGATAAGAGTATTGCCAATAATGAATAGCGGCAGCTTCTCTTCACCTGTGGTATTGGCCCCTTAAAAGGACAGTGACCTGGTCCTTCGATTCTTTCACTCCAGAGTACACTCCACCCTACGGTGTGAAAGTGCGGCTCGGCAACATTTTATAAAAAAGTGCAGCCTCGTCCAGGTTGAAAATGTCGCGGTCGGCGTAACTCTCGCTACTCAGCAAGCCGGCTGCTGCGCTGATTGTCTGCAGTGGCTGTGTCGACAGTGCCGTTCTCGGTGTGCAGTGACTTGAACACCACACTGTTTCTTTTTCTTGAAGTGGTCAAACCAGCCGCTGCTGCAACTGAAGTTCGTGTGCCCCATTTGCAAGGCCAGAGCGTCTGGCTTCTCCATCCTTATTCCCCGCTTGACGGGGAGGTTGGCCGCCCTTGCATTTCACAGCCATACCATCAATGCCACTTCAACATCTGGGAACTTCGATCCTTCAACCCGCTTCTGCTGGCTGAAGAAGCTCTGCTGAAATCCATCCAGCACCTTCTGCTTGTTTTTCAGCACTGTCGAATGCGTACACAAACGGATGCCGAATTCCTGCGCGATGCTCGATTTTGTTTGGCCTCCTTTCTCCACATCCTTAATTGGGGCAACCTTTCTTTTCAGCATTAGTGACTGGCACTGCTTTTTGTCATTCTTGCCGCACTCGCGTTAAGTTGCCGCTCCTCAAAGTCCGCGAAAAATCCGTACCGCTCTGTTTGCACAGATTAATGGAAATCACCTCGGAGAAAATCCCACGTACTGCACTCGCAGTCAGCAAAAAATTCGTACCGCGTGGTTTGCGCAGATGAACCGAAAGCACACCTCTGGGATAATCACGTGCACTGCACTAAGTGAACGAGACAAACTGCTCCAAAGCAAGGGCAGAGCTCCCTGCTCAGCGTATGTGTTACGTGATGTGCCACAAGGTTGCTTGAGAAAGTTGATATGTCACTGGGTTTAGACTTCGCGTTCGTGCAAAGCATCGACGCAGTGGCAAACGCGGCTAACTAATAATAAAATAAAATAAATTAACTTCAGGTGCGGCAGCATCGCGCGAATCTTGTGAAATGGTTCAGTGGTGGAATTTTCATTCTCCCGGTCAAGTTCTCGAGTTATTCGCAATCTGACCTGAACATGCTTCAAGATAAAGGGGAAAATATACAATGTACGTATAGGAAAATGTAAGGTGCCGCGGAAAGTTTCCACTTGGCCAATTTTTTGAGATATGCGAGTGAGTTTAGAAGGTATTACTGTATATAACTTTTTTTTAATGCGCATTTATTGGATCTGACGCCTTTGCACTGTAAAATTTGTGACAGTACAGTCGAACCCCTTTATAAAGAGACACTTGATAGAGGAGACGAATGGGTATGACACACTAGTATGCCAACAGTAAAATACGGGTTGATAGGAAAATGCACACATGGTACCCTGTTTATAAGAGACATCTCGTATAAAAGCAAGAATTGCTGCCCGGAGCATGCCTCTTATAAAGGGGTTTAGGAATTCCTATTTACCTAGATTCTACCATACAGTCCAGTCTCCTTAAGGGGAGATGCTACACGAAAAACGATTTTCTTTAATACGAGTCTGAATTTAACACAAATTGGCATGCTAATAGAGTTTTTTCTCCTCTTTTCAAATATGTCATTTATTTTCATGTAGATTGCTTGGTTTTCTTCCTGCAGGTCAGATACTGCAAAATTATGGCCATTGTTATGCACAATTCTGACCTATAAAAATTTGAGATAAAGCATGCAGATATAGCTGACTATGATCCTTTGGAACTGTAGAGTGCAAAAAACTATATAAATTTTGTGTGTAAAAAGGTGAAATACAATAATAAAATAGAAAAATTTACTATGGCTCTAGTTGCCAAGGGCTTTCAATGTTAAGGGGAGACACGGGTCTTTTAGAGCAAAAAATTGCCAAAAAATCAATTTTTTAAAATATTTTTTTTCGAAATCTCGACGTCCAAAAGAATCTATTGCTGGAATATTAACGCGTTCCGATTAGTATTTATTTTGTTATTGCGATCTTCATGATCACTCTCGCTCGAAAACGCCCCCCCCAAAACGGGCAATTTCAATGCCGTCGTCTGCGGTAACCGTTAGCCGCAGCACGGCCATTTTGGAATCATTCGAAAGCTAAATTCTTCAGCAATCCGGTTTTAGCGAGAAAACAACTCTAAGTCTGGCAACTATGGAGCTACACGCCACTGAAAAGGAGGGAATACTCGCACGGCATTGGCGCGTTTATACCACGTGGGGCAAATCCTGCTCTCCGATTGGACGACCGAAATTTCGTCTGCCCGACTGTGTGCAACAATGCGCGACTCCTTGTCACAAATTGTTCGGACGCGACGATGGCTGGCGGGCGACGCAAATTCGCGACAGCTCATGCCTACGGCAAAAAACGCAAGCGTCGGTCTCGGATACCTGAAGCAGCGTCGAGTGAATCGACGGCGACGAGCTCCGCGACATGCGCCAGCGAGTGTACGATATCCACCGAAGCTGCAGCCGCGCAAGCGATGCCTGTGGCCGACGACACGAGGACAACGCGCGTCGATACGCATTTTGTGACAGAAGCGGAAAAAGTGGCATTTGAGCATCGCGCCGAAGAGCAACGACAGAAGCTGTCTTCGTTATCAGCTACCCGCCGAAAGCGGTCGCTTATCGGAGATTCCCCGGAAGCGGCGGGGTCCGGCACAGAGTTCACGCTGCTAAGCCTACCGCTGCTGAACCAACTGCTTCGGTGCGCGAAATGCGAATTCTGCTCTGGCCCATTGAACATTTCACGGGGCGACCGTGAGTACGGATTGGCAGTTAGAATAGTGGTGAACTGTGCCGTCTGCGGAGATGTCAGCGCCGGATGGAGCTCGCTGAGAGCAGGGGGGAATGCGACCTGCAACCCTTTCGAAGTAAATGTGCTTGCGGCTCGTGCAGTTATGAGCACGGGAAATGGGCAGACCGTGCTAAACGACATTTTTTCGGCCCTGAATGTGTCTCGTCGTGGAATGCACAACAAAACGTACCAAGACTACGTCAAAACCAAGATGAACCCTGCCGCGATAAACGCATCCGCGGGTATTATGAGCGAGTGCGCAACAGCTGTGAAGGCCATCTATTCTGAACTGAATTTCGGGAACCCCGGCAATATCGCAGTTTCCTACGACGGGACTTGGCTAACTCGTGGCCACTTGTCACACATTTGTGTGGGAACTGTAATAGAACTGTTTCGGGCTATGTGTTGGACTTCAAAGTTCTCTCGAACTTCTGTTTGGGTTGCGAGATTGGCCCCAAGGACGACGACCCTCGATACAGTGAGTGGCGAGCTCGGCACAAGTGCCAAAAAAACTCTTCGAGCAAGCCTGGCCAGATGGAGGTGGAGGCTGCCAAAATTCTGTTTCGCCGGTCCCTCGAAAAGCATGGATTCCGCTACACAACGATGTTGTGCGATGGCGATAGCCGCGCTTTCAACAGCCTTCAGGAGGAGCAAGTGTATGGCTTCGTGGCTATCGAAAAGGGGGATTGCATAAATCATATACATAAAAGGATGGGTGCTGCACTGAGACACCTCCTGCAGAAGAGCAAGGGGGAAGGTCGGCCAAGCCTCGGTGGCAAAGGAAAGCTCACCGCTGGGCTTGTAACGAAGCTTACAAATTATTATGGTTGGGCACTCAAGGCACACCAGGGAAACATCGATGAGATGGAGAATGCTGTCATTGCCACTTACTATCATGTGACTTCTACTGATGCAAAGCCACAACATTCACGGTGCCCAAAGGGAGAAGACTCATGGTGTGCCCACAACAAGGCAGTGGCAAGGCAGCAGGCTCCTCCTAAGCATCGGTACGACCTCCCGGAATATGTTGCAGAAGCGCTCCTTCCAGTGTACACTCGCCTCTCAGATCGAAAGCTGTTTGAGCGCTGCCAAAGAGGCAAAACTCAAAACTCGAATGAGAGCCTCCATTCAGTGATCTGGTCGCTTGTACGAAAAACCAAGCACGCCTCGCTCTTCACAGTCTAAACTGCTGTTGCGGAAGCGGTTGCTCGGTTCAATGCTGGAAAGAAACGTGCTTCTGAGGCCATTTTGAAGGAGCTGCATTTGAACCAAGGCAACACAGATGTTGAAAGATGTCTGGAAAAGGACCAGCAGCGGCTAGCGGCATGTGACAAAAAGCATACCAGAGCAGAAGACTTCAAGAATGCCATGAAGAAGAGGCGTGTGAAAGAGAGTGATGGTGATTATAAGCCTGGTGGCTTCTAGAGCAAAAAGGACTCCCATCTGTTGCTTTTTTGGCAAGAATTAAACCTATATATAGTCTTCAAACTTCTTTTTGTGTTTTCTCAAAATCAGTTTTTTGCCTATGTGCTATACTGTTGCCCACAGTATCTTTTGATCTAGTGATCAGATTTCAACAATTCTTGTTGTAATTGACAGCTTACGAGTTCCTATACACAATAAGACTACTAAAATTTATATTTAGTCAAGAGAAAATTTTTCATGTGCTGATAAATCTCATGAAAATTCTCATGTTCCCAACCATTATATTACATATGGCAATAACTTTTATAAAAATAGAGTTAAAATTACAGTGATAGTATAGTTGTGATCCTTGATTATTCTAGACTATGTCCATATAAAGTGTTCAAGGATATTTAATGATTAAATTGCAGAATAATTGGGCAATTCAACGATTCATTATTTATTCAATATCTCTAAAACTACTCGAGATAAAAGAAAATGGATTGAATATATCTTCACAGCAGGTTAAAAGTTACATTGCCTGAAAATTTCATTTGAATATGATAATAAACAGAAAATTTTTTTAGAACACCAGAGTCTCCCCTTAAGTAATTTTTGAAAAACATAATCAAGCAGCACTGACAATCTGAATAGATACTTGCACTCTATGGGCCTTCATCATGCTATGTGCAAAATTTCATAGAGGTATGACAATTCTAAGTATATGAACTAGCGTGTATAAGAAGCACAGATCACACAAAACTGCAAAAGGAGAAAAACGCATTTGAAAGTTTGAAACCTTTCTTTTTATCACAGAGTTGTTAGAAATGCATAATCTTTGGCCATAATGTTCAACAGAACTTTGAAAAGCACTACAAGTTACTAGAACTGTCCTGCAGCACAGGTTGTGCCCTCACGGTCCTTGCGAGCACTCTCTTCTAGCCGTGCCCTTTTCACTCCACGACGACGGTGGGCCCTTGCTTCTGCTGTCAGACGCTCGGACATTCTCTTGATGCGCCTCGCATCGCGGGAATCACTGAAAGTAACTAGATCTCTAGATGGCAGTATGTTGAGCTCTTCCAGGATGTGCTCGAAAGTAGCATGACCCTTGTTGAACCACAGGATTGCCATAGCTGCGGCAGTCTCGACAACCGTTCGGGAGACAAACTTAGTCTTGGGGCAAAGTAGCCAAATTTTGCTGTTCAGGGATTCCGATGCGTTCTGGGTTTCCCTTTGATGCATCGAGCAAGGAGCTTCTCATCCGTTAGCCGCTTATAAATGGGCAAAACAGCCAATCCCTGTGCTTTTGTCAGGAGAGGTGTGTGGCGTGGTGCAGGTTCACCAAGTGCTTCAGCGCGTTGTTTGCACCATGACTCTTCCTGCAGGGCAAAACTTGTGGCTGCCAGCATTGTCAGTAGAGCATGAGTGGAAGTACGAAGCCCATACTGCAATGTACATATCCTGTACACTCCCCCTGTTGCTTGTTATGGCAATTTGATAGTATGTTTGGAGCTTCTGAATGGCTGGCTCTTTCATTTTCTGCCCTCGTGGTAATGGCACATGCAGCTTCCGTAGCACGGTGCCAAGTCTCTTGGCCACATGATTAGTGCAGTCTTCTTTTTCTATATTGACAGCACCATAGACTTTTGACTCTGCAACTGCACTATATGCTTTGCTGTCACCGTCACTCAAGAATGTCATGAAATGCAGTGGGGTGTCATAAGTCAATGTTCTCTGCCAAATGCGCATTGCAGCCTCCGTTTCCATGGCATGAAAGGAACAGTCTGCATTTTTTTCACAGACTGGGCCATGGAATGCCTGCCACACTTCCTTGTCTGGGCCCATATCCTTGTGCCTACTGCATGTCAGGCAGTAATTTGATATGACCTCGAAGTCTAACCAGAGGCCAGTATCTAAGGAGATAACTGCGCCAATCTCGTTGTGGCTTTTGTGGCCCCTCTTCTGCCAAGTGCCGTCGAACATAACAGCCACATCAGTTTCGCCTGCTACTTCTTTCGTCAACTCTCTGGATCGGCGCAAGTTTTCACTCACAGCTGCCATGGCAGCGGTGTGCACCTTCTTTGCTATCGAAAAAAATCCTCGGTGGTGCATTGGCTTTGGGAGTCCAATAATGGAACAAAATCTCGACAATTGCTCATTCCCAATGCCGACAGCGCGTGCAGCCACCTCCGCCTTCACATTTACAGCGAAACTATCTCGGGAGCTCCCACTGTCGTACCGTTGGCTCACTCGGCTGCTGCCGTCCGCCGTAACACGCAGTGACGTATAGGAGCACGAAAGAACAGTCGCTGAGCATTCGCTGTTTTCGCAATGAAGTTCGAGGAGCGACGAAAGTCCCTTGCGCTTTTCTGCCGGCTCCCGAACGGCAAGTTTTTAAATACCCCAAGCAGGGCATGCCGCACCTGCCACAAGTGCCGTCAGCAAGAGGGTGTCACACAAAACTGTCATTGCACAAACCTCATCGCGCTGTCTTTCGTCTTTTTCGAAGAAGCCGAGCTTCTTTTCCGAAGCACTGACGAAAGAAAGCGCAGCGTCAATCCCTTCATCGCAGCCACTGTCGCTCGCGCACTCGTCGATGCCGCCGTCAGGCCTAGCACACGTAGGGCGCGTTCTCGTTCGTCGCCGTCGTTCGGGGCGCTTTACGCCGCCTTCCCTTGAACTTGTGCTTCGTTCGAAACTTCTGCGGTCTCACGTTGCACTTTTTCGGGCTTGTCATCGCGGAAATATGCGTAGACGCGCAGAAAAGCAGACGTACCAAATGCCGATGGCCGCCACCAACACAGCTGACAATGACTTGGTAGCCAATGGCGATGCGGCTTAGGGTGCCGCGCGTTTCAAACCGCTCAAACCACGTGATAAAAAGGCCTCGTTTTTATTTTTTTTTGTCCACATACGAAACTGGCGGTCGTCGGAGCTGTAAGAAGAAGGCCGGACGCAACTTTCCCAACCGATCGCGATGGCGGGCGGCACTGCGACGGGGAGCAGCGCGCAGTCAAAGATGGCCAATATCGGCGCAAATTCACGAAATTTTGAGCCACCGCGATGCCTTCATACACATTTTTTTGCATTTTGCGGTTCGAATTTAATTTTGAAATTTTCACAGATGAAAGAAGGTTTGAAGATTACAATGCAATAAAAATCAGAAATAAGAGAAATTTCGCTAAAAACGCGATTTTTCGACTCGCATCTCCCCTTAATATGTACCTGCTTTAAACGTACTAAGGGATAAAATGTAGTTGCCACGAATCCTGGACAGAGTACCATACAGCCTAATATATTCGCTAACCGCTTAAAATGGGTGAAGCCATCCGTTGTTGGCGAAGTTGTGTTCACAGAATGCAGTGGCAAACCGGAATGTTCTACGTCATGGGTGAGTGAAATATGGTCAAGTGACCCCGCGAAAATCTAGTTTCAGGCCAACATTTTTTTTATTTTGAATTTTCTAAGTCGAATAATTTCAGATTGCATGCCGTTATCACTGCTGTTTTTGCTGTATTAGTCTGGCTGTAATTCAGTCCACACAACTTCCAAAAAAACATTGGGGATTAAATAGTGTTGGAGGGCCCCGTTAAACAGTCAGCGAATATATTAGGCTGTATGGAACTCTGTCCGGGATTCGTCGCAACTACATTTTAGCCCTGAGTACGTTTAAAGCACGTACATATTAAGAAGATAGGACTCTATGGGAAATTTAGGCAAATAGGAATTGCTAAATGGAATAACTTTTAAATCGATTAGTCCTGTGCTTGCAAAAGTGCAAAAGAAAGTTGCAATAAATGGACCAAATGGTTTGTAACCATCTGTCCACGTTTCATGCTAGTCTTACAATTCTTGAGAGAAGTTGCATGAAGTTGTCAATGCTCTCCTCAATAGCACGTTTTGAAATAGTGTTCTTTGCAGATTTGCAGGTGTTGGCAGTAGTAATATTGTCCAGACTCCATGGATGAATTGAATGTTAATCTATCGTTGCAGAAAGCACAGGAGGCATCGAGTGTCAAGAAGGACCTCCAGCAGCAGGTCAGCAACATGCTCAAGAACGAAGTACCAGTCAAGGAGATCATTCAGAGTGTGAAGGAATACATGACCAAGTACTCACTGCCCGAACACGATGTGGCTGTGCTGGTAAATGGCCTTTTATGAAGTTTATAAGCTAGGGTCAGTGTCCTGGTGGAAATTTTGGCCTAGACTGTCGCTGCCTAGTAACTTTGTAGTGCCAGGAGAGGCCTTGTTTGCTGGTTCACTGAAGGAAGGAAAGGCAGGGATGTTAACCAGTTGGCTGCCAGGTGGTCAATAGCTATGAGCAAGCGCTCCGCAACGCGGCACCTAACGCACAGAGTTTGCTCAAGCCAAGCAGCCAAACTCTCGACATTTGTTGAGTGGCAGGAAAAGTGTGCAAGACCTCCTTTTTGCCATCCTGATCACACACGCACACCAAGAGCAAGCAAGATGCGCACACCTAACACACATGCCAGTATGCGTGGAACAGCTCCAGGCCCATTTCTAGTTAGAAAACGAAACTAGTTCGAGCCAGCGTGGCTGGCGTTACGGAGCGGTGGAGACAGGCAAAGGGGTTGCGATAAAAAGAGGAGAGTAGATTTGGGAGAGAAGGCCAAGGAGTTGCAATAGAGTGAAGAGAGGGGAGGATGCGGCGGGAGGGCAACTTTGAAAACCAAGGCACGCGGAAAGGAGGTCGGGTAGCTTGCTTGAAAGGTCCATGAAACTCGCAACTCACGCGTACAGTGCCGCCTGGACCTGCGCGCGTGGCAGTGTTCAAAGAATTGGCGGTCATGGTCGAAAAATCGTTTTGTTGCGTCGGTGAATTCGCGTGACCTCACCGACTTGGATATTTCGCTATTCGTTCTGCACAAATGAACAACCATTTTCGCGCTTCCGCACTCGTGTGAAGGGCATGCTGAGCCGAGTGCGATGTGAGCGAGAACAGGTCCTAAACACGAAACGAATCCCTAATGATCAGAGTCGGTGTAATAGCGTACGCGCTTGCACTAGACACAGACGATTTGATACAGTCGGTGGCCGACGATGTTGGCAAATGGCCTCGTCACTCCAGGCTGGTAAGGCCAACGACAGTAACAGCGATCACAAACAGGGGAGATGGCCGACCAGTCTTCAAAAAAACTGTGGCAGTGTGAAAACACTGGCCTCGTCTGGCAATGCGGGGTGCTCAGAGTAGGGGGGGGGGGGGGGGGACAAAGGGGTATATAACAAAAAGCGGTTGGGGAGAGCAGTGGCAGGGTCGGCGTTTAACAATGAGAATGTATGAGCACCTCGCCGATGCCTGATCGGTGGTCGAAAGTGGTTTCCCGGAAAGTCTGCAGAGCTCTGGCCCCGTTCGCTGTAACCGATCGGCGGTGCTTGGAGACGTTCATTGTAAGTGTGATATTGTGCCATTGAACCAATGTACATTTTCATGGTCATCTTGATATTGGTCGTTTTAAACAAAAGTTCGTTTTAAGTGGGGCCATTATATGTGGGCTCAACTGTAAAGCTAAGGGTGGACTTGGTACATTCGACCGTGATTTCACTTTGTGCGGATGACTGTGTTGCACTTCTGTGATAATTATGAAGCGTAAGGCAATACTACCGTATTTACTCGCGAAATCCTCGCACTGTCATAATTCTCGCACCCCCCACATCACCCAACAAAAGTACGATTTTTTTTCCTCGAGTAATTATCGCACCCCCGAAAACTGCCGCAATAATGTCGTCTGCTCTTTCCAGCCACTGATGATGATAGGGCACGCCATCTGGCACCATCTCTTAGCATCAAGCGTACTATTGCACTGGGGTTCAATCCAATTCAAGCCAGGCCAAAGTGGCCAGTGTGCGTTGCGGCGTGCTTTGTATGCTGCGTCGGTAACCTTGTCAAGTTATGAGGCGATACTGAAGCTGTACGGCTGCTTTCAAGTTGCAAGTGATAGATAATGCACTAAAGAACGGCAACAGGGCCGCCGGTAGGCTCTTCGGAGTCTACGAGTTTTGTTTTCGCTACTGGTGATGGCTGCTGAAAGCCACCAAGACTCATTGGGCCTGCCGTGTGCCTAAAACTGGGATTGCTGGTAAACTTTATTTCAGAAAGAAACTGCGGACAATTCTGTTAAATAGCCACCAGCCCAATACTGACGTCTCACGCTTACCTTTTGAGGGCTCCTGTTGAGTGACGAACGCTACCGCTACGCCCGCAACCTCCACAAGCTTTGCGTATGGTATTCTAATTCTCGACTATTTGCTTTCACTTTTTGTGTCTGAAATGAATCTTGTCTTGCGTTAAACCTCTGCTTTTATTGTTGAGGTAAGTTCTAATTAGCACTTCTTAAAGCTTGCTGTTAGTTGCTGGTGTGAGCATCCCGATTTGCGGCGACTTCCTTTTTTTTTTTTTCACTCTGTACGTTTTCGTAGAAAGTTTTCCCCGCGTAATTCTCGCACCCCCCAACTTTTCATCGGTTTTCCGTCAAAAAAAAGTGCGAGGATTATGCGAGTAAGTATGGTATGCAGGGCGGTGCACGCACAGCGCCTAAAAGTGTTATTGAAGCCGCGGTTGTGTGCGCAGCTGTGGACAACCCAGATGTCTGGCATGGATTGGAACAAGAAGGAAGAGCTAGTGGCGGACCAAGCATTGAAGCATCTGAAGCAGTACACTCCTCTGCTCGAAGCATTCACGACCACCCCACGTGCGGAGGTAGCGCTGCTGGTCAAAGTCCAGGAGTTTTGCTACGACAACATGAACTTCATGAAGGTATTCCAGAAGATCGTTATCCTCTTCTACAAGACTGATGTGCTCAGCGAGGACTCTATCCTCAAGTGGTACAAGGGTGCCCACTCACCCAAGGGCAAGAGCGTGTTCCTCGAACAAATGAAGCGCTTCGTCGAGTGGCTCCAGAATGCCGAGGAAGGTGAGACTGAATTTTCTTCTTCGGGGTTAGAAGTGTGCGGCAGGATCTAGCGGCAATGCAATTAGGCTAATTTCTGAAGAAATTTACATCGTAGCAAATGTGTGCCAAGTACATGTTAGTTGCTCTTTTGTGCACAAGCCTTGCTTTTGTCACAGATTTCGTTATGCATAGCAGTATAAATGAGCGCTTGTTTATTGTTTGACCTCTACTGCTCTAATTCCTGAAGGTTTTGGTTTGCTGAAGCGCTTCACTTGGTTCCATCCAGCAATGCCAGTCATGGGGGTAGCCGAGCGGCTTCTGAACCATAAGGGTGGGGGCAGCAATCCCCAAATTTTATTCCAGGTCGGCACTTTGGTCGTGGATGCTTGAATGTGAATTTTGCATACGGAGGAGATAACTTGGGGTCTGAGGATTTTATAGTGCTTTTTAAAAATAGAAAACATTGCCCTTCCATAGTAGAGGCTGTGCCGATTTTCTGAATGGCGTGCTATTGAATGATCTTGAAGGCCACGAGTTGTATCTTGTGGGTACTGGGGGCCGCAAACACCTGAACCAGAAAAGTATAAATTCTCGCAGGTCATGACACCTAGCAGAGTAAATTTCGGCCAGTGCGCCACTCTTTAGCACCTTTGTCTCTGTAGTTTCCAGCATACTCATGAGCACACACAGGTAACAGTGCTCAGTTTGTGAAGTAACTCAGCTTAACAAGAGATTTGTAAAGCAGCAGTGGTGTAGTAAAAGTCATTATGGGATTACTTTGAAAGGTCTGTAGGTGATAGAGGTGTTTCGAATGCTTTAGCACTCTGTTAAGTAAGCATCACACCTTCAGTTTTTACATGATTGGTGTTTGGTCTTTGAGCAGTGCACCTTTGATTGCGACACTTAAATTTTTTCTTGTTTTCGGTGCGCAGAGTCTGAGGGGGAAGACTAAAAGGTGTACCCTGCATGTGGCAAAGCCCAGCGATTTTCCTTGCTTGCAACCCTGCCAGTCAAGCACAAATATGTATTATACGAATCAAATAACGAGAAAAAAAGAAAAAAGCGCACCAGGTGGATGGGTTGGACATTCCTGGGCTTATGCCACAGCCTCGTCACCTTTCTATTCATCACCGCCTAGACTGACGACGATCACCACAAAACCACTATGCTGCCAGCGCTGCTGCCACCTCATCTTGAAGACAAGTTGTTGGAAGAAGGCAATGGAAAGAAAGCACTCTTGAGGGCAAGGGAAAGAAAAGGAAAAAAAAAAAGATGCCACCGAAAGGAGCAGTTTGCCTCTCTCTCTCTTTCTCTGGCCACCATGTAATTGGAACCGAGCGAGTTTGTATGAAAACTCAGACTATTTTTGTAATGAGGCTGTTCTTTCACTACCCCTCACTTGTCTTCTTCCATGTTTGCGCACATTCATCAGTTTTTTTTTCTCCTCTCCAGATATCTTTTTCTCCCCTTTTCTGGTCCATCCTGCCTCATTTTCGGCTTGGGCAAAAAGAGACTGGTGATTCTGCGAAAGTACTTTTCAGTTTATTGGACTGTGGATTGGTTGGGGATGAGGTAACAACTTTTGCTTCATGTTTTGTCTTCTCTCGCTCTGTTGTTTCATCTGTTATACATAATTTCCTGTCCCACTCGTTTTCTTTCTTGCTTTATTTTGTGAATGTCTTTTTTTTTTCTTCTAACAAGTGTTTCAATGTGAAATAAATCTTGTTAACTTTTGATCTTGGTATACTCTGGTGCACCACGCACATAGGCAGAACTTTTCTTTTTTGCTTTTTAATTAACGGGAATGTTGCATGGAATGTGAACTCCTAAGCAGTTGCAGCTCTTGAACGTAAAATCTGTCAATCGGAAAAATAGTTTAAACATTAATACTGCATCAATTTCTTATGCGATTTTCAGTAAGCAGACTATACGTTCACATTCAAGTGAACTTTTTTTTAAGGCATAAATGAGTTGGGATGCGAGAGGACTCGAACGTCAGCAGTAAATGAAAAAGTGGTGTGCAAGCACACCTACGTACGCCCCGCCCCGCCTACTTCTACCGCTGCATCACCTGCCAAGTGTGGCTTGTGGACTTGGGCCCACATGTCAGTCGGAGGGTTTCTGGTATTTTATTTGCCCTAGCATTTTCAAGCTGGCAAGTGTTCCACCTAATGTGCCACCAACACTATCATGTTTACGTCATGGGTAATGCGGTGTGCAAAATGGCATACGATTATGTGCAAACTTAATAGGACATTCCTGTTTGCATCAATATGTTCTAGTACAGTAAAAAAAAAAGTGAACAATGCGTTAATTCATGATTAGCTGTGTTACACACAGGGCCAACATCTTGCAGTGCTAGCAACCATGGCATGTGGCAAAGCTGTACTCCGTTTTTGCAGGCTACATGCCTTGCTTATTGTTGAATAATTGTGGACTTCCTGCGTTTTTGTACCACTGCAGCGGGGGGAACATCTGCGCCACCCTTCACCGGGCCACCCCTGCTGCACCATACTCGTTTTCTCAGTGCAGTACTGCGCCGCAGTGCCAGAATTTAGCCGCAAGTTGCGAAAGCAGTCAAGCGTCGTGCCCGGAAACGTGGCTGACACATCGTTTATGTTTGGTTTCATCGAAATGGATATAGTTTCGGTTTCGTAAAGACTGTGATGCCCTAGCAGCAACCGTGAACTACAATTCACAAGCTATTCGCACCAGGCTTTGGCGCGAATAGCTTGTGAACCCAGTACGTGCTGCGCTTTCAACACAAAAGAGCCCAAGAAGAGGCTCTCTCCCCGACACGGCTGTACTCGTACCGCAAGGTTTTGTAGAATTACGCGATATGGGATCTGAAAGAGTTGGCTGCCAGCCTTATGGTTTGTTGTTACGCAATCATTGCTTTGCCCTTCTGGGGAAATTTTTCTTCAACTTGATGGGAGTGTTCGACAAAGGAAAACAAAAAATATGGCACTAAAAGTGCTTAAAGAAAGGGGGGTGGTGTCTGGTTCTGGAAACTTAGTGTAGACAGGTTGTTATAAAGGAGGTGTCGGGACATGCCACCACGTCCGTGACTGTGGCGACCTTGGGTAGCGTAGTCTTGGCTGGAGCCATCAGAGTGCCGGGAGAAGACGAGTCGAGGAGCCGGCGTAGATGAGAAGAAAACATTTATGTACAATATTTACATGTTGAGAGTAGCGTAGAACAGCATGGAACAGATTAAGCACACCCGGGCGTCTTTGCGCTCGCGTTTTTATACACTGCCTTCCCAGGATTCACTGTGAGGGAAGACAAGTCAGTTCAGGTCCCTCCAATAGGATTGTCCTCCTCCACTCCGACCCTCTGCAGACTAGTCCGCCAAACCAGTTTCTAGAAAAGTGCAAGGACACGCACACCCGGTGGCACAGGGAAGAGCAATACGGCACCACTGGCTCAGCTAGCTCTTTGCAGGCTCCGAACACCATGGACCAAGGCGTGGTCGCTGGCCCAGGAATATAGAAAGCGTGCTATTAGCACAAGTCCACATGCGAGGCCCATTGTTCGGTGCACCAGCCAAAGGAGGAGGGTGCTGGTAGTGGTTAGAAGATGAGAGAAGGCACCTAATTTCTGCAACCCGGTTGCAAAGGTCCCTCCGGGTAGTCGGGTGGTAAGGGTTCTTAGGTCTGCGGGCCCAGCAGACTCGCCGCACCACCATTGTAACTTTAAGCCGCCCTGGAATGTCGCTCCCGGCATAACAGCAAACAAGGTGCACATGACTGCCGAACAGTGCATGCCCGTATTTTCGTTCATTTCGCCGCTGTGCTTCGACCTTAATCGGCTTTGCGATTGCGCTCACGCGTTCAGGTTAAAAAAAATGGCGGCTGTACATAACTAAATGTGTGGCAGTTGCACTGCAAGGGCGAAGCAATGAATGTGATGGTAGCAAATCGTAATGTTATAAACGAAGGCTGTTTGCTTATATCTGATCTCGCTTCATTAAAAAAATTCTGGTGTACGTGTTTACGGCCATTTCAAGAAGATTTACACTTATCGCACAGTCTCTTCGCAACGAGAGTGCATCGCGTAAAAGTGTATGTGAACCGCCTGCTGATGGCCGTCGATCGCGACGACGCCCTTAAGTGCAAAGGTGATAGTTGTTGCTCGAAGAACGCCGTCCTCCCTCGCTTCTTTTCATGCTCTTCCAAGACGGCCGGAGCGCTTCCTCACTGCTTCGACTACAGACCTCCTGGGCGGGAGGATATGTTTTCGCACGCGCCCTCCGAGCGACTGAAATGGGCTGGATGGTTCGATTTCTGCTGCAGCCGCGTTCGTCGCCTCCACTCGCGTAGTTTTGCTTGCGGATAGAACATAGTATGCGCGGGGTTGTGATCAATGCGGAATTTTTATGGGATATATGACGGCAACGGCGAAGACCCGTCGAGAGTCTACTATATAATTTCTATCGCAATAGTAAGGCTGTTGCAGTATTGAACAGATTTTGCATCACAAGTGCGTTAAATATAACTACATCTGCTCTAAATGTTCTTACTGCTGTAAACCTGCTCGAATAGGCCCTCCTGGCTGCTCCAAGCCTGCTACGAAAAGCACTTTTCGCCTGCATGCAGGACTGCTCTCAAACCCATTGCAAGCAGACTATTGGTACTCAGCTAAATAGATGTATGGGAAAAAAGCTCCATTGCATGTGGTGTTAGACACGTCCCCACTAGTTTCTCGTAGCTTTAGGCAGGTGTTTCGAAGTAATGCAAAATTAGTGTCAGGTAAGTAAACTAGCAGTAATACAATATGCTGGTCGCGGGATCGAATCCCGGCGGCGGCAGCTGCATTTCCGATGTAGGCAGGAATGCTCTAGGCCCGTGTGCTCAAATTTTGGTGCACTTTGAGGACCCCAGGTGGTCGATGTTTCCGGAGCCCTCCACTATGACGTCTCTCATAATCGTATGGTTGTTTTGGGACGTTAAACCCCACAATCAATCAATTATACAATATGACAACGCTTTACGATTCAGTAACAAATCTCGTGGTTGAAGGGGGGGGGATCATTTAATGCAGTGTGTGATATTTGGAGAATATATTTCCAGGACAGTGCACTAACCTTTGCAATCAGAATACATTGGCACAGCCGTGGTGGTCTCTTGATGGGGCGTGGGTTTCTGAGCTGTTCAAAATTGGTTGGTTTTGCATGTTTATACCACATGCCCGAAGTCTCGAAGGTTGGTTGACACCCTCTTCCTCCAGCACATTACAAACTAAGCAGTAGGAAAGAGTTCGGTGCATGGTGCATTCTGTACAGAAGAAAAAAAAAAAGCTATTACAAATGTCTATAGCTTTTGGAAACTATGCTCTCGCATTATCACGAAGATGAAAAAAAAACAACTGAAGGTTACATGTGCCCGCTTCTTTTCTAAAAATTTTAGCACTGCAGATGAGAGTCTTGCTGCATTTTCAATTTATTTCAGACATATATACACAAAAAATATGTATGTCCACGAAATAAGACAAAAAGAGACTCGCATGCCTCTGACGAGGCCTTCACCCCGGACATAAATGTCCAACAGCAGGAGCAAAAACAACGAAAACATGTCAGTTATAGCGATAATTACATTGTTCATTACCCAGTATGCAAACAATAATAAAAATAAGATAAACACTTAGACATGAATATAAGGAAAAGAGTTTTGCAAAATGTATTATAGTATGATGTATGTGCACATGGAGCACATACAATATCAAGCATAAAGTAATCGTCAGCATTTTATGATACATCATTGAAAACTAATACATCTGGCAGAGACATGAGAAGTGCTTTCACTGTTTTTTTAAAATGAGAAACGCATGTGGTTTTATTGGCCAGTTTGGTTAAGGATGAGTGTGCATTACACAATAAAATTATTTGGTAATTAAAGTTTTAGGGCTTTAGTTCGTGATCTTGATCCCGTCAGTGATGTAGAGCGTAGGTTGTGTGCCACTTGTCTGGTGAAATATTTGAGAAGGCGGTATAATTGTGTTTAATTTCGCGGGAAATCATTGTTGCTAAGCGAATTTTACGCAACTGTCATAAGTGAATCAGTTGAGGGTGGTTGAGAGGAAATCATTTTCAAGCTTCCTTTTTGTGAAGAGGAAACACGTTTGGCATCAGTCTTGTTGCATGTACCCCAGACTGGATGACTGTATGTTAGGTGGAATGAATAAACGATAAATATAACGTAAAGGCAAAAAAATAATATTGTATAACATACAATGAGACCTAGATAACACGAACATAGTTTATATGTTTACACCAACTGAGGTAAGATCTGCAAATTACCCGAAGAAATCGACAAGCGTTTACGGGCGCTGTTGTGGAATGATTGATAATTCTATGTCATGAAAGAGAGGTTCATTTTTTGGACGAAATATTATGTACTGTGTTTTGTTTACGTTTCAGTTAATGTCATTTTCACACTGCTATATGTGAAGTTCGTTAAGCCAGGTGTTGGCATGCGATTTTGGAAAAAAAAAAAAAGCGGCAATACCGATGTTGGCCGATAATTGTTGAGGTCATGTTTTCTACCAGTTTTAAGTAGACACGACAGTAATACGTGCGACTTTTATTTGGTCAGAAAAAATGCCAGTCGCCAGCATTCTGTTGCAGATATGATTTAGAGCAGCAATATAACAGATAGCTGCTTTAACTGGCAGAACGCTGATTTCATCGCAACTGGGAGAACGCGCGTCTTTCAGTGCAGACACGGTGGATGCTCTC